GTTCCGCGGGTGGCGGCACGTCGCCCTTCTGGCACTCCTTCGGGACGGCGTAGCCGTTCGTGCGGACACCTCCGCCCCACGGCGTGCGGCCCTTGACAGCCGCGTCGACGCCGAGGCCGCGGGACGCGAAGCCTTCCCAGAGGTCGCAGAAGTTCTCGCCACCGGTGAGCGTCTTGTCCGCCGCGATGATCGCGTCGCGCGCGTCGAAGAAGGACGGGCGGCAGGGCTGGAGCTTCATGCCGTCGAGCACGAGCTGTACGATGAGCGAGTTGCCGTGCTTGGGGACGAGCGGCTTCCGCTGCCCGTCTGAGGTGTACTCGGCCTTGCGGTAGAAGTCGCCCTCCGGGATGGTGCCGTCCTCGAGAGGCTTCGGCGGGAAGAGGTCGTCGACGAAACCGTGCTTCTCAATCAGCTTCTGGGAGACGACCCAGAGCATCTGTGCCCAGACCTCGCCAATCGCGTGGACGCCCCAGTAGCCAGGCTTGTCGAGCGTCTGGTACGTCGATGGGTTGACGGTCTCGTTCTGCGGAGGACGTGGTCAATACGACTAACTAAACTGGGAACCGCTCAGCACGTACCAGGGAGTAGGGGTAGTTCCGGATACCCTTCTCCATGTTCGCAGCCCACGAACCCATGGCGTAGTCGGAGTAGTTCTTGTTGCTACGGATGGTCGTAGCCAAGAAGTCTGCGACGACGTGAGCTTGAGTCACAATCGTTAGGGCAAATTTACTCACCACCCCAGCCTTCGCCCATTCCGCCGGCCTCACCCCAACCGAGGCAGCCGGAGTTGGCCGGACCACCGGTGAGACGGGTGCTCAAACCGTGACTGAGCTCATGGATGACAATGCCCGCCTCGAGGTCACCATCGCGGTACGGGTTGGCGGTGTTCCAGAGGTACATCCGGCAGCGGCCGTTCTGTCCATCGGGCGGGGTCATGAAGTTGGCGTTATTGTAGCCGGAGCCGTCCTGCGCGTTAGCGATGACGGCGTCGTTCTCCTGACCACCGCGGCCAAAGTTGTACTGCTGGAAGTTGCCCGCGACCTCATTGAAGCCGTAACGGTAGTACAGATCGTGGACCAAGTTCGAGGTGTAGAACAGCTGGGTCACGGTCGCGTTGATGTACTTCTGGGCTTCCTCGAGGGCGTCCTCGGTATCCGTCTTCTTGGGCGAGTACACATAGTCGAAGGCCTTGCTCGGGCCAGCATCCGGACGGTAGTTGTTGACCCAGTTGTTGCGGCCCTCCCAGTCCTCGTGGGCGAAGACGTTGTTGCCCCAGGTTGTGGTAGTGTTACGGATCGCAGAGGGATCCTTGGGGCGGGTAAACGACGACTGCGGGTCGTTCGCATACGGAAGAGCGTGCCATCCGAGAGGGGACGCCAGGGCATCGAAGTTCTCCTTCTGAATAGAGCGCTCGCCGACCGAGGGGTCGTTGATACCCCAACCGAACACGTTGTAAGTCGCGCCCTGGGGCTCCTTCGGCACGGGCGCGTACGGAACAGGCGAGTCGGAAGCCCAATCGACGACGGAGATGATGCGGTGAGGCGCCTCGGCGGAGACAGCTGCCTCATACCAGTTGTCCTTCATCTCGACCTCGAACTGAAGGAATGTTAGCAATGTATCAATGCGGCTGAATGCGGGTGAACGAATCACCTTAAAGACGAGCTGAAGCGTCGTCGAGTCACCCTGAGGAACCTGAACAAACGCAAGGCGTCCCTTCACCGGATTCACGGTATCGGGTACGTTCTCCACGGTGAAGAAGGGTTGCTCGGTCATATGGTGCTGGAATGAGACCTTCATCTCGGGGATGAACTTCGCAGGGTTGTCCAAGATCTCCGACGCGAGCGTCTCTTCTGGGGTCGCCGCGAGCATGAACTGGAGGAGGGCGCGCGAGATATCGCCTGACGCGGCATCCTCGGCAGCGGCGAAATCGGGATGGTCCGCCATGAACTCGGGCGCGTCCACGTACTTGCAGTTCCACTCATACAAGTACGACAGCTGCTCCAGTGCGTTGGAACGCTCACCCGTCTTGCGGGTGACATGGTCGACGTGCTGGAGCTGATCTGCGATCTCACCCTCCAGGGCTTGACAGTAGGTGGAATGAGGGTCAACGCGTGCGTCAGCCGCGTCCGCGATCGTGAACATATTGTCACCCTTAGGTCGGAAGAACTGAGAGCGATGATCAGTATACAGTACACGCATTTGGGAGTGCCTTGACTCACCGAGTCACCGTAGGAGAGGACAACACCGTCCTTGACGTTGACATTGATGTCGCCGTCAGCGACTTCAATGCCGTTGACATACTGGCGGACGTAGACGTGCGTCACACCGGTAGCCTCGTCGGTGTACGAGTCCTTGCGGATGACGAAGTCACCGCCCGGGATATCACGAACGAGGTCCTCTACGAAGAGGCGAGCAACGTCGTAGGGGTCCTGAGAGGCGCGCAAAAGGCTAGTGTGGTAGACCGGGTTGGTGTGGTATGACGCGTGCGGCAGCTCCGGGCCAAAGCTGAGGGTCTTGCGACGCGAGACATGGTGGGAGTCATGAGCGAGCACGCCTGCGAGGCCGGCGGCGGCGAGGGCAGCGACGAACAAACGACGCATGCTGAAGGAGAGACGGGGAGTGTAGACGGAGACGAGGTGATGAAGATGCTCCCCAACGGCGAAGAGGGGGAGATGGTGGTTGGGAGGAAGGAGCGGGCTGCGTATGTCGGACTCTTATCTACCCCGCGCCACGCGACGCTGGCAACCCATAAATGGCGACACAAACGCCCAAAATGGTTCCGCGGGGCTCCTCTTCACCCTCCCTTCACACATTCCCACGCACCGCGACGCGCAACCCCGCACGCGCAAGCGCCCATATGACTCCCTCCGTTCCCCGAGCCTCCTCTTATCGGCCTCCGCCCAGCCCGTGAGCAGCCCCCAGGCCCTGGATATCATTAGTCTCGGCTCCAGACGTTCTCCAGGTCTCCCTCAACGGCGCTCACCAACGCTGCGCTACGCTCCGCCAGAGGAGCCAATGGGAACGAAGGGCACTTTCTGAAATTTCGCACGCTGGTTGGTTAGCGCCGGTTGAGGGAGACCTGTAGTCTCGGCTCCAGACGTTCTCCAGGTCTCCCTCAACGGCGCTCACCAACGCTGCGCTACGCTCCGCCAGAGGAGCCAATGGGAACGAAGGGCACTTTCTGAAATTTCGCACGCTGGTTGGTTAGCGCCGGTTGAGGGAGACCTGTAGAACGTCTGGTGCATTTCGGGCCATTTGGGCGCACTCGTGACGGCGGGTAACGGGCAGTCACTGCATTGTCAGCGATCTCGCGTCAGCAAGAATCACTCAAATGTCCTCTGTTTGAACTTTCAACTCTCTTTCATTGGGCGATTTGGCCCCTATGGGTACTTGAGTATTGGCCTTGACCTATGGGGCTTTTCTGGGAGGTCAACAGTTTGGTAGCTGGGGAATGCGGGCGGTGTGCATGCCCTCGCCACCGAGCCTCTCGCGCGCCTAATGCTGGCTTCGCCCACTCAAGCGCCCACACGCGCGCCTACACACACTTCAATCGCCCCGCTGCTGTGTTGCGAGTTCTCCACCAGACGTCTTCAAACTTCGCAATGTGTTGCATTAAGCTGACAAAGTGTCTCCTGTAGATTTTGGGGCCGAGCTAGGACCATAAGCGCGAGAGAATTGAGTACCAATGCGGTCACGGATAACACCAGGCCTGGACCGTGACTGGCCGTCACGAGTGGCCCAAATCGGCCGGAAATGCACCAGACCTTCTGGAGCACGCTCAGTTAGCGCCAGAAGGGATGGGAACGAGACTAGGATATCATGCTCTGCTCGTCGCCTGAGGCGGCCTGATGTGTGCAGCCAAAGTCCGGTGGTCATCCGACATCGATATCGCCCATTCCGAAGGCGTCCGACGACCGATATCGACCGTGTAAAGCAGCCTCAGCACGCCACTGTCGTGGTCTCATGCGTGTATCACACGAGCCAGGGTTCCCCCGTTTCCAGCCACCTACACCTGCGCCCTCTTTCTCCCATGCTGCCCGGAGCAGTCTACACAGCTCTACAGCTCCGACGGCCGTGAACGTAAAACGCCTGTCGGACGCGGATCACCTCACCCGCTGCACCCGTGGTCGTATACGATAGCAAGTGCCGAACGTTTGCTCAGGACAATCCGGCAAGTGGACATGTTGTCTCACTCTAGACGTGTATGGCATGAATATAGCTCCTCGCGCCATCGCCACAGCATGCCCTAAGATGTACCACTTGTTCTAGCAGGTCTGCCTGGATGCAGATATCCAATCATGTACTGTGGCAACAACCCGAGAGTACTGTACATGCGCAGCATCATTGCAGTGTTCGCCAGTACGGCAGGTCTCAGGTGGACTGTAGTACACGATTGGCCGATAAGTATAGCGTAGCCCTATCTTTCGTTACTGCAGAGGAGCTGCTCATCGTCCACAACTCGAGCTCGCAGTGCGTTCGGTCCTTGGATGCGCGCAAGGGGAGTAGTTACCGTGAAGTCGCCATGCTCATATTTGCCTTTAGAACGTCGATGACGAACGTGCTTGGATGGCTCAGTTGGTTAGAGCGCAGGTCTCATACTTTCACGTATGACCGCCGCACGGTGGGCAATCCTGAGGTCGTGAGTTCGATCCTCACTCCGAGCACAAATACAAAAACCCCTGCTTTCTTTTTTTCTTCCCAGTATTCAACGTCAACACCCAGCTGCGATACGGGGAACGTTCATGTATCTCTTGAGAGCACCACATGCGAAGTGTGTCGCCTTTCCAGTGTGGTTGGAATGTCAGCCCTGTGGAGAGTTCAATACTGCAGCAGACCGGTCACCCTCGTCTTGAGTGGCGCCGTCCTTGAAGCTTTGGAGTTCTGGAGTGGTCGCCGCGTCAGGAACGGTTTGCTGAGACATTAGGATACTTACAACTTCGACGCATCCTCGCTCTTGTTCCCACTGCCCAGCACCTGGGTACTGGGAATGGCAAAAACAATGCTCGGAGTGAGGATCGAACTCACGACCTCAGGATTGCCCACCGTGCGGCGGTCATACGTGAAAGTATGAGACCTGCGCTCTAACCAGCTGAGCCATCCAAGCACGACGATCGTAGACACTTGGACATACAGTATCAGGGGCAAGCTTTCCTTCATTGAAGCGAACGCAATGATGACGGTTTCCTTTCCCTGGACGGGGGAGTACTTGGGCCTTAGGAGAGGGATGCGGTGAATGTCCTTACAGACTACCGCTCAGCGGTACTTCCCATTCCCACCGATAGCTTGGTAGGGATGTTTGGCGGACAACGATGATTTCGCAGGTATGTGTTTCATTGCCCAGGAGCTCAAGGTTGTAAGTACAGCGGTTGTAGCATCCGTACCAGTACTGGCAGATGACTTCACGATCAATTGTCGAGAGAATATCCGACATCTCCGTTCACGCTCTCCTGGAGCTTGATCAGCCGTGCCAGCATCTTCTTCCCCCGAGCGTCCAGTGTGTCAGCGAAACGCTCCTCCTTCATCCACTGCAGCCCGTGCTGGAGGATGTTCCGCGCGCGAGAGGGGCCGCCGCGCACCTCGCCCATGCACGCATGCAGCGTGATCCGCGGCGTGCGGTGGTCGTACGTCGCGCAGTGCAGGATGTTGTTGTTGTAGAACACCGTCTCGCCGGGCTGGAGAGTGACTTGAATCGCCCCGGGCATCGTCAGCGGGTCCTCAGGAGGACCGAGCGTGGAGGACTGTGCGCGTTGTTCGGGCGTGCGCGGGACTTTGTGCGACCCAGGCACGATGTAGAGGCAGGAGTCTTTGCGGAGGGCGCTGCGTCGTAGCGCGGTCAGGCAAAATGGGGTGGAAGTCGGCGGGAACTAGACCTACGTATTCCATTGCGTCTGTAAGCCAGTGGATGTGAGCGTGTGTGATGGAAGGTGACAGACGCACTTACACCATGGTGCCAGATACTGAGAGCTTCACGCTCCTCATCCTCGGTGGCGGTCTCTCGTACATCATCACGATGCCAACGGAGCGCGAAGGAATTCCAAGTCGGGTTGATCAGCATGTTGAACAGCTCTGCGAAAGGGCAGGAAGGTGTCAAGCCAACCCCGTTAAAACAGAGGGCGATCACGTACCCATCTGCAGCTCGTCCTCCTCGCAGCCGAGCAGCTCCTTCACCACGTTCACGAGCGCGTCGGACGTGTACCACCGCGCGAAGGCGGGGTCGCCCAGGTCGGGGTGCATGACGTGCTGCACGCCCCAGGAATCGGGATCGCCATCTCCGAAGGGCGGGAACTGGCGTCCGACGGTGCGCCTGTGCGGCCAGTTGCCAGAGCGCGTGCGCTCGATGACGCGCGCGGAGGCGGCCTCGAGGGCCTCCAGGTGGTCCGGCGGGATGAGTCCGGGCACGATCACGTATCCTTGCTCGTCGTACAGCTCCTTCAGAGAGGGGCTCATGGTGGTTCCAGCTAGAGCTGCGATAAGAACGTCACGGTGGCAGCGTTCCGAGCATGGGGTGTTCAGCAGGGTGTTACGAGGCAGCTGACCATGGCCAGGCTGATGGCTCTAGATTTCGAGCTTCACTGCAGGTCCTGCATTGAATCGCTCACTAGGGAACGAGACGAAGCCAGCTACAGCACAGTTCTTCCATTCGCAGCCCGCGAGCTATCAGAGGCAGTGGAAGATGAGTGGCCGAGACAGAATACGTATGTCAGAATGGCGGAGTCGTTGAACGGAGGTCCAGATATTGTGGCAGGAACTCCGAGAGGTTCGAGTAGCTTGTCGGCGGCACAGTTGAGCCCCTCAGAAATGCATCATCAACGCGAGCGATGGTGCTGTTCGACGAGGCTGAGCCTGCGCGCGTACGCTGTGAACGGAGAAAGGAAGCAAGACTGTGCGGTACGACGGCCAGTCAATCCGGTTCCGGAATCCTCGGAAAGCCTGCAGGTAGGCGCCCTCCAGTTTAGCCACAACCCGACGCGGTTCACTCTCGCTCTCTGTCCACTCCCACCACTACACATACCACCACCGTCCTACGCAGACACCTCTCCAAGCGTATCGTATACCAGATTGTGCCCCGGATGAGGTGAGTAAACAGTCCTATAAGCCTGACTACGTAGCGATCGGCGCACGCCTGTTCCACGCCGTCTGTGTGCCGGTGGCTACGTGAGGACCTCCCGTTCTTTGGTCCATACTCGCAACAACACCCTTTGACTCCTTTTCGCTACCACTAGACTGCATAGGTACTGACGACGCTCCAGGCAGTCGCCATGAACAGTGCCGCTATCGTGACACCTGCAGCTCACCCAGAGCCCGCCACCCCCGATACATCGTCCATGGATGAGGAAGCGGCTTTCGCACAGGCTACACAAGGACTTCTCGGCGTTGGTGCTGTTCCAGTTCTGCAATACCTGCAAGAGCCCGCCCTTGCTCCCGTCGTTCAGAGCGCTCTCACTCCAGCAGCTCAACACACGCCGCCAAGCGCCGCTCCCGGACCAGCCCCGGAGACGATCATCGCGCGGGCCGTGGCTCGTCTACATCAAGCATACCAGCAGACCTTTGGTAATACGGACGGGCTGAGGTTCGAATACGAGGAGGATGCGATCAGTCAAGGTGAGTGCGGCTATATGCGCATATACTCACGATGGCTCAGCTCGTCTAGGGAAACGCTGCAGACTTACCATCACCCGGCCAAATGGCGCCTCCCGCACATACACGTCGCCTCTCGCCTACCAGCGGAAGTACGACGCGAAGACGCATGCGTCTACTGTGGCCATTGAGAATGGCGCGATCGAGTTCATAATGTCTGGCGGTGGCCAGGAGCCCTCCGAGGAAGAGCGCACACCGCCTCCACCACCACCTCCTCAGCAAGCCGACTCTGCGGCGACGCTCCTGGAAATGGATGAGTCCGTGAAGACTATAGAGCAGACTTGCTCGTCCTGGACAATTGGCCGTATCAAGCCTCATTGGCTGCTCATCAATGAGTCGAAGTTCGGCAGGAGTACGTACGACACGGTGAATCAACTCCGTACGGCAGCACTGACCCTGTGTCTCCCCCCAGCACAAGGGTGTGCTTTGCGTATCCGTCTAGGCCCTCGAAATTCGAAGGTATGGTCCGTCCCCACCGTGTACAACACTGCGGCAGAGGCGAAGAAGGCTTGCGCGGAGGCCGCCCTTGCCGACGGAGTTCTGGAGTATATCAAGACATGGTCGTCGCATGCGGCCGGCATGTCAGTTGACGAACCGGGTTCTGAGTTTCCGAACTCTTCAATCACGCTCCAGCAGTTCTTCGACGCTCTTCCGAAGCCCTTCCCAGAACAAGTGCCGGGCCAGACGGCTGTGGATATCAATGGACCCGCATGGCTCAACACTACGATACAGTCTGCACGTGGCGGCAAGATTGTCCCCAACTTCGTTTGGACGGTTGACCCCAAGCTCGGCTGTGAGTACCATCGAAGGATGAGCATAGGCTCGTTTTGACATGCTTGCAGTTCATGGATGCTTGCTGCGCCTTGAACGGCCCGGTGAAGTTAAGTCATACCTTGTTGACGCTCGTTTCTCGAAGCGCGCCGAAGCTAAGGCCGCAGTATGTCTGCTTGCGATGTCGGAGGGTGTCGGTGACTACATCCGCGGCGTGGCCAAAGCTGTCGAGGAGAAGCTGCCGGCTGCGACGCGGAAGCACGTCACCGAAGTACTCACGCCTCTTCTGAATGCCGAGTACCGCAAAGTGCACGGTCCTGGCATCCAACCGCAGATTGAGTACGACATGGACGTGGACGGTCAGTCATTTCCTCTCTATGCTCTTTGGCTTGGCGCGCTGAGAGGTGTGCAGCGTGCGGAGCCACGATGGTGGTCGAACTCGGTCCGTCGCCGACGCCTCAGCAGGTGCGGAAGTACACCGTGCCTGCTGAGTATCGCAACCGGAACGACGCAAAGCTCGCCGTGATCGCACACGCTGTCGAGCAAGGGGTCATCGAGTTTCTCCGATTCAAGGGCAGGCCCCCGCCCCCGGGCTACGTCCCGTACTACGCGCAGCAGCACGAGAACCAGTATATGAATCGGAAACGAAAGCATTGGGAGGGTGGCGGTGGCGAGTGGGCCGGCCCGGGCGGTGGTGGGGGTTGGCAGAATAAGAAGCAGCGTACGGGCTGGGGTGCTTATGGTGGCATCCAAGGTGCGCCAGGCGGCGGGTCCGGTCCGCAGATGAACCAGTACCAGCAGCCCGCGTGGAACGGACAGAAGAAGTTCCAGAACGCAACCTGGGGGAGACACAACGGTCCTGGCCCTCAATACGGCAACGCGGCGGGCCCTTCTCATGCTGCCGGCCATATCCCGGCCGGACCTGGTGGCTTCGGTGCGGCGCCGTTCGCGCCGCCTGTTGCACCTACTGCCCCCGCGCCGTATCCGGCCGTCGGCGGCGTCGCCATGCAGCCGCAGCCTGCTGTCCCACAATTCGGATACGGGACAGGCGCCGCACAACCCTACTATGGTGGCACTCCACAGCAGGTGCCGTATGCGGGCACACAGCACGGCGTGCCCGGCGCGCCAGGTGGGACTTATTCTGCATACTACCCTCCCCAGACCCAACCACCTGTGGGTGGCGTCTCAATGCCCACTCAGCCGTATCCGCAGCAGTTCCCGTATGGCGCTGCTTATGCCTCTCCTCCCGCTCAGGCGCAGGTTTCGGGGTATCAGGCATATCCATCTGCTGCGGTTCAATATCCTCCTGTTCCTTCGCAGACTGCCTACTATCCCCCCGCCCCTGCCGCCGTCCCTGCTCCTCAGGCCAATGCCTACCCGCAGGTCCCGACGCCCTACGTCAGGGTACCCGGTGTCTCTCCAGCTAGCAACCCTGCAGTACCGACCGTGGGCGCCGCGTACACTCCCTACCAGTCACCGTATGGACCTCAAGCACCCGTCCAGCCGACACAATCTCCGGTCGCGCCCGTTCCGCCAGTCGTTCAGCCGTCACAACCTGCAAGCACTCCCCATCAACCATCCCTGCCGCCTCCTCCACCCCCTCCATTTCCACAACCTACACCTCCCAGCAGTATCCCTCCCCCGACACCGCCATCAGTTCCTCCCCACAACCCAACGCCAACGAACGGCGCGGAC